TGTTTGAGATAATTATTAGTGGAGGAATGTGAAACTAGTAGGGGGGAGGGGGGATAGAAGGTAAAATTTATGTGACAATACGTGTACGACTTTGCGACCTCGCAGCTCCTCTAGGTTTGATGTACAAGTATGATAAAAACTAGTTTGTTCAGCTACTAGAATGTAATAAATGTTTGTGAAACCTGTGATACAAAATTTAAAATTTAATTTGTTGAATTTAATTCTGAAAATATTTCTTTCTGGGTCATTGGTTTAATTCTAGCAGGGCTTATGCGGCTGAAATAAAAAATAAACAAACGTTTTTTTGTAATTAAAAGTTTCCAATTTTATGAATTATTTTAAATATTAAATTCTAGGGGTTTATACATCCCTGAAATTGAGGAAGGAAAAAGCCAAAGAGCAAAGATAAATATAGAGTGGAATTAAGCAAAAAAATGTGTAAAACCGCCATTTTCCTAATACTAAAATTAAAGAATGAAAGATTAACAAATTTGCATGTACATACACTTTTTTACGTTTACATCTTTCAAATGACAATTTTAATTCACCTAGCTAATACAAGCATTTAAAATTAATTTAACAACTTTTATAAAAAAAAGAAAACTGACATGTCCAGGGATCATACTGTATTTGTGTACTGCATACAATTTATGAACATTTACATGAATTGTACACCTTGAACTACTTTTCTGGCTCGACGGGTCTGAACAAATTTATATCGTGGGATAAGCTTATTTCCCTTCTATTCTAATCTCTGTTCTGTGGAAAAAGTAGTTCACCCCGCTGGGTTAAATTCTCCTCCCCTCTGGATCCCAAAATCCCCCAACCGGGGGTCACGACCCCTTCCAACATTTTTATTCAAATAAATAACTTTTCTCAAAATCTTGCAAATTATACTTCAAATTGAAATATTTAGAAAATAATTGATGGTTATAGGTTGAAGGGGTTTGTGGAGGATAAATATAATTTTTTTTAAAACCCTAGAAAATTGTGCATAAGGTTGATAAGTTTTATTTTTATAAAAACGCTATAAAATCCCCCAAATTGATTTGATTGTTTATGAAAAAAAACACTATTTTTTTCGGCTACATGGAGATATCTTTAACACAAAGAAACGAAAATTTTTTTTTCAAAAAGTTAAAAAACTGAGCAAATTGCTACGGAATCTATAAAAAAAATATGGTACCCTTGAAACTGAACAAGTATGAATTAGATTTCCATGTTTTTTGTTTTGAAAACTACTTTTTCTCACTGTGGTTTCTCTGCAAAAGTGAAATGTGGATTTTTTAATTATACGAAAGCTGGGAGAAATTATTAGGAATAAACTGGAGCGAGAAAACGACGTTATCTTCAACATCTTTGATCAGATAAAGGTTTCAAGGATATACAGTAGTAAATCAGACATAGACCTCTTTACATAGAGACTTGAAATTACGCTTACAGTCCCTTTAAACAATTTTTTGCCCGTTAATGATTCTTCAAATTTTATAGTTGCGTTAAAATTGACCTAATTCAACACTATAGGCGATAAAACGGTGGGGGAGGGGGGATTTTAAACCACCATGATACAGGAAGGGGGG